TCACCGTATAAACGCTGGCGCGTTGGGCTGGACAGCAGGCAGAGAGGGAGGGAAATCCCACACTGAGAGAGACTCAAATCTGCCACGCAAACCTGTGACATGGCAAGAAATTCAACATCACCCGTCCTGCCCAGCACAAACCAGTAACAACCACGGCGAGCACCAGATAGCCGTAACCTGGAGATCAACGCTCCGTCAAATCTAAGCACTGCTTATGGAGAGAAGATGAAAAACCGGCAGAGGGGTCCAAATCAACAACCAAGCCTTGCTTTAGCCGTTGACCACTGTCCAAGCGAAGCAGCAGCTTTGAGAAGTTGCCCCGAGCAGCCGCCCGGCCGGCCCGCAGCGGCCCCGGCCCACTGCCCTCCCCTCCAAGGGCAGGGAAAGGCCCCACAAACGAGGTGGAGCCCTGGCAGCCATTTCTCCCTTGTTTTTTTTGATAAATGTTTTTCTTACCAGTCTCCAGGAGCTGCGGCACTCCAGGTGTTTGCTACTGAGCCAGCTCAAGATAAGCTGAGCCTCTCACACTCAGTCTGGCCACATCCACCCCAGGCAGTGCAGCAGCCGAAGGAAACACAGCCCTCAGCAATATTTGTACCCAAACCTGCCCTGTAATCCTGAAACACACTCAGCTGGTTAGTTTGGGTCCTGCCAAGGTGGAAAAATGAGTACATGGTGCACGCAGAACGGGTGAGGGTTTAGCTTTCCCCCACAGAAGAGGATTCAATGTCACCTCCTACTTAGGAACCTGGGAGAAACAGGGAAACAGAGGACAATGCTGTGCTACAGGACCAAACCCTGCCCCTTCTGTTTCCAAGCCCAACTTCAGACAGGTCCTGTGATTAAAACACCTCCTTATTCAGTATTTAGATAGAAATTATTCTTACTTCACCACGCTGCTATTAACATCATCCATTAATATTTAAGAAATGTGTGCAAACATACCAAGGACAAACTGTTCAGGGGTTTGTTTCTTTTATAAACCCCTAAGACTCCCATTAAAAAAAAAAAAAAACCCCAAAACCAACAAACCCATGTAAAGTCAAATCCCATCAAAACAAAAAATTGACACAAATTTTAATATTTGTATATTTTAAATCAAAACACAATTAAATATAGTATGTTTTAAGTACATGAATACTGGGGCATGAAAGAAATAAGAGGTGGTACATAGTACCAAAAACCTATACACAGCCTTTTTTGCTTCTTTTATAGACAATACAGTGTGTCTCTATACAATCAAATATTGCAACAGAATAACACTTGCTAGTCAATCAAGATATTCTGAACATTGGAGATGATTCGAGTTCTTCACAAAGTGATTTTTTTTGCACAAGTTTGAGGAAAAAAAAAAGCAATCATAAGAGTAAAACAAAAAATCCAAAGTAGAAGTGTTGTATACTAAAAATGCAGTGATAACATAATGGTGAGACACTGAGTACTTCTGATACCCTGCAAAACCAATTCACGGGGGGGGGGAAGTGCTGTGTAACACGGTGGCTTTTTTACTTAAACAAAAGGTTTTGCAAGTGGCAAGTGTTGACAGTGTCAGGGAGAAGGCCAGAGGTCATTAAAAATTGGTTTTCTTTGTGGACCAAACATCTGGAATTAGATACTATGTTGGCTGGAGGGCAACAAGCTATGGAGAATGGCAGCAATTTTTTTCCCTCGCTCATGGGATGGAGAAGAAAGAAAATGGAGCAGCCCACAGGGTATGATCTCCTCAAAACGTGGAGCATTCGGAGCTGTGGCTTGGAGCAGACGGTTGCAGAAGTGCAAGACTGGCTTTTGAGTCTGCTCTGTGTTGGAAGCAGGGGATTGTGTATGCAGGTGTAAGAGCTCGACAAGGAAGAGTTACACTGTCCAGGCTTTGTTCCTGATCATTCTACGCTGCCTTCAAAGTTAATGTAGTTATGAAGTAAAATACATTTATCTTACAGTTGAATACGCATCTATTTCAAGTAAGGAAAAATAAAACTTAGAACTTTTTAGGTCATTCACTGCCAATGAATTCACCATTTCAGGTTCACTTCTCTCCAGTGGCCAATGTCGGGGACACGCCCCATGGCCTTTCCAATTACGTGTTTAAAAATTACAAGTAGTAGAACTAGAAACTAGAGCAAAACCTTCTCCTCTTTGTTGTGGCTTGTGTCCCATTCCAGATATTTTGCTTAAAAGTCTTTTTGAGACAGGGTCAAGTATTTGTGAAGCTGATCACAGTTTCTTAGTGACACATTGGTAAACTGCGTCTTCATCTCTTTAAAAACCATCATTATTGTGAATGCCACATACAACAGGAAAAAGTGTTTCTTCATGCTCTACAGTGGAGGTACAGGATTGCTTCTTTTGAATTCTTCCTTATAAATGAGGGAGATTTCGTCGGTTGGAGTAACAGTGCTTTGTTTTTATTGGCTGTGTTAAAGAATCCACCAAAAGAGAAAGTTCGCTCATTCTTGAAGCAGAAAACCAGATTTCCTGTTCTGGCATTTCTAAAATCATAGCTAGAAAAGGAAGAACAGGGTTAGAGTTCATTTTACCCTAAAACATCCAAGGCAATCACTCAATAGAAAGATGTTTTGTGTTTAAAGATGTTGAAGCCAAGTATGTTTATGAGTTTGGGAGAGAGAAGAAAAACCTAATCCCACATTCAACCTTCCGATTACTGTAACCTTACTCACTTAATCAAATCCAGAGCATCTGCAGCCACTTGATATTTCTAAATACTGTGCTGAGAGACCTTTTCATCCAGCCAGACTGGAATTATATAATTTGCAACCAAGCTATTAAGTGAAGTCATTATACAAGTAATTTCAAGATAACGGCTTTATTAATAAGAAAACAGTCACATAGTGAAACTATGGATCCATCCATTCAGTTCTAATAACTGGGCTTTGGCACATGTTTACCTTCAATAATTAAAAAAAGTGCAAGTTAATTTTAAAACAGTCAGATGCCCGAAAGCCAGGAGTACCAGGTATTAACTTGGTAAACTGCTGTCATCATTATTTCACAAAATTCAACTCTTGCATAAGAACTGTTTGGGGTTTTTTTGTTTGTTTGTTTGTTCAAACAGAGAAATGTGGACTTGTACAACAAAGTTGCTAAACAACAATATACAGCACTAAACCACTAGCCTATGGACAGGGCTACTGGGTCTTTTTTAAAGTGTAGACACAGCACTGTGTAAATTAGCACACCCAGCAAGACAACTTTCCAGATGTTGAGGTTTTTTGACCCTCGGGACAAATATACCAGTATTCATTAACATGAAACAGCAAGTGTGAACTCAACTATAGAACCACAGTATTGATCCTGCAACACAAATCACCCTTTTAACTAATAAGGCAGCTTGTAAAGACTCAAAATGAACACAGACAATTTTAATGCTTGCACAGGAGAACCACTACAGGTGTCTGTTAAGAAATTCCTACAACATCATATGTGGGCTGAAACACTTCCAACCTTTGTTTCTTCATATCGTGCTATCGGAGTTTGAACATTTACCAGCGTGGGTTTCAGATGCACTAGGAAGGCAAGCAAGAGCTCTGCTCCTCCCACAGTCTGGCTTAAGTCAGATAGAGACAGGCAGCCTTTCCACCCCCTTACCTTCGTAATCTTCTCCGAAGGCTGTTCACATTGCGCCTGCTGCATAACGTCATTGACTATCATCTTTGCTATCCTCCAAGCCATCTCTTCTTGAGCCTGCCGTAGAAAAAAACATTCCAAAACAGAGATAGCTTCAAGTTCTTAAAATAAAAATACAGTCCTCTCGGCATAATTCATGTGCTCAACCTTGGAGACACAGTTAACCTTCACAACTCATTGAGTTGTGGTAAACGTATCCTCCCTTGATGGAAATACATCTGGTTTCCAAGTACAGCATTAACTTCAATTATTGTGAATATTTATGGCCTGATGCAATTTCCAACAGAGTTAGTGAAAAGTTTTTACACCTATCTGTTGGGGCCTTGTCCAAGCCCCTCCAAGGGGGAAAAATGCAGCCTTTAATCCGTGTACAGTGGTCACTTCACAGTAAAAACCAAAGAACAACAGCACTTCCACTCCTAATTATAGATATATCTTATAACACCATAGTAAGAAAAACCTTGACTGCAAGGACATTGTTAACCATTATATTAGCTAAACCAGCAAGCACTGGCAAAAATCAAACTAGTTTCACGCATGCATGCAATCAAATTATATTTAGCACACAGAGTCTGACAGTTCTTGTTGGTGCATCAGAAAGATACTCAGAGAAACAGCCAGGATTAAGAACTTCAATATTTCATTTCCCTAATCTACACTGTAAAGTAAGTCACAAGGACAACATAAAAGACGACGACACACCTCATCTGTGTTTCCTTGAACCCATTTCTTCATTGCTTGTGAAAACATGGACCCTAGACGAGATAAAAAACAGCAAGCAAGGTATATTAGCAAACTCTGGCACACCTCTCTAAAAGCTAATTCCTTCCACCCTTTTGAAGGGTTCGCACTGCTGGCGTTAGAGAACACAGAAGAGTGGCATGAAAGACAAGGGATTACGTGGAGCCATGGTTCGTTAGACACTGAGCCCGAACCATTCCTCTTTACCAGAGCTGAAAAGCAGCATTAACAGCAGATCCCAAACTGGGTGGGAAGCATGTGGACAGCTGAAGTTCTTTTTCATCTCGAGACCAAATCTTTGAGGTTTGATCATCAGCTCAGCTGCTAGCGGCTTTCATCCCTGCCAGGTTCCATCGACAGCTCCAACTCCCACAGGCTGCTCATACTCCCAGGAGTCCAGCTGGACCAGAAAAGCAGAATTTGGCTAGGAAACTGGGCCAGAGGTGGGTTTTGCCTCAGTACAGGACGATCCCCTAAGCATCTCTATTTGGCTTAAAAACAGATCTGGAAAGAGTCAAGAATCTTATCTTGACTGCAGTAAGGAAAAGAGCAATTCTACAGATGTTTACAGAAATGGAGAGAAAGAGGAAAGCAAACCTTTTGATTTTTTGACATCAGGCTCCGGTTCAGATTCTCTGATAAACTGTCCCAGGTCACTGACTCGTCCAAACGTCATCTTCCTGAAGAGAGAAGGAGTAAAAGAACCACACAGGTTACCAAGAGAACTTTGGCATTATGGAAAGCTAACAGTCAGGAAAACAAAAAAAGCCATCACAATAAAGACTCGAGTGTCAGCAGACTGGCATTTTACCAATTACCACCTCTTCCACCTAAAACTGGTACATTGGGAAAAAATCTCCCGCTCTTCTCACGTATGTGAATTCAAAGTGCATCTTAAAAATTCTTCTAGAAACTAGAAGCAGGCAAATGCTTCAATGACTCAATCACGTAATACCAACAGGCAGTGCGAGCAAGTGCTCTACACTATCATAAAAACATGTCATTAGGGAGAAAATAGTTTACAGTACCTAAAAGGACAGAAGACTGGTATGCAATAGAAAAGCAAGGTAGCTACAGAAACAAAGACTTTCTGTATGAGATCCACAGAGCAGAAGAGCTTTGTAACAAAGAGCAACTTAAACAGAATAGCTGTGCAATCTGCTGAAGAAATGAAGTACAAGCCCTTCTCTGCCATGGGGGTAGGGAGAAACTGAAGTTGCACATTACAATATCAAAGGTGCCTGAGCTTATTCTTTTCTGTTCCAACCCCAAACAGGAACTACTTAGCTGTATTTTGGAGTCAGAGAGGAATAATAACTAGGAGAAAGAGAGAAACCAATTGGAAATATTTTTCTGGCTGCCATTCTAGTCAGAGAAACATTCACTATGACATTGGTGTTAAATTACCCTATTGAAATAAATTTACTTTTAAATATTAAGACATGTACTAAGATTGCAACATCTTGCATTTATGCGTACTCTCCATGCAGGAGGACACAGCAAAAATGAAACAGAGGTGAAACACGTAACTAGAAAGAATGAGATACACTGAATGAACCTTACCCTGCATATGTTCGTTGATATAAAGATTCTGGATCCAGACTTGCAGCATCTACAATTATTGCTTCATCAAAATTTTTCAGGATTTTAACATTAGCCTTTTTGACATTGGACTACAAATAAAAATCTAAGTATTAGTGCCCAATGCAGACAACTAATAGCTTCTTAACAAAACTGCAATTTTAGTGCTTTTACACTTAGATAAACCTCCATAAAGTCTCTAAGTAAGCATAAAAGAATTAGAGAGCATCTACACAGTGATGAATTCCTAACTCAGTACGACATTGTTTTTAAACAGAGGATGATAGTTATATGAACAGAGCCAAAGACACAATGTACAGGTCAGCATACATATGTGTAAGGACTGCTCTCTAACCATTATCAACTGAACAGATCTGTGTGCGCATGCAAATTATTTGTTTGTGAGTACATAACACTGAACTATCTCAAAAGCTGCAGCAGCTTCACTCATCCCTCTCATGCACTTGCTAAGCAATTCCCACACACACTATGCTTCCCCCATACACAGAGAACAAACATTTATCTTTTTGGCCTGGATTATTTACATAAGATTATGAAAAAAGCCAAGGAAACATTAGAGCAACAGCAGGGAGAGCACAAATGCACAGCAATCTATTAGCACCTTAACACAGAACAGAAACGATTATGGCAGCTGCCTTGCAAACTCCTTTCCTGCTGCTCTGCGTAAGCACTGTTCTTTATGCAAAAATATGCAGAGATCCGGAGATTCTCCTATTCAGATAAGTAGGAATGCACACCACAAAATGCAGTACTTCATTCCCAAATTGTCCAAGCAAGCCAATTTACCAGCAGTTTCTCCTGCTCAGACTATCAGGCAGCAGGATATTTCAAGACAGTCAGAACACAGATTTCATTCTCTACTTTGCAACTAGGCAGGAATATTCCCTCCTTGCAAATTAGGAGGTTTAAAAATATTACAAGCAGGTAGTACAGCTTCCAAGTTGCTTGAAACACAGTACATTAATAACTTTGGTCTAGATACTGGATTTAAAACCCACAGCAGCACTGCAGCATTCAATAAAAGCAATTCAGCAAAAGCAGTTCTAGTTTAGCTTTTCTGTTCTCAGCTGGGCTTGCAGTTTGCAAGCTGACCTGGTTACAGATAAGCTAGAACCTGCTTATCCTCTCTTCTTTCACATCTGAATTAAGCAAAGCTGGAAATTTTGGAACAGACAACTCTTGGTTAAAAACACATCTCTGATGTTATTGGGATGGTTTCAAGAGTGTGACGAGCTCTCCACTGCCTGTTTCTGAGGCTAGGCCCACACGGGAACACAGCTCTCGGAAAGCAGCACCACGAAAGGCGATAAAGAAGAAAGATGCTGGCCTGCAACCAGGGCACCGTGCAAAGCAAATACACAGTGGACGTTTCTCAATGACTTTGGAAGGGTAACAGAGCCGAAGGAGCCCAGTCACATTCTCATTTTTACACAGTACAGCAAAGAAGCAGCCACATAGCTCTAATCATGCTTAACAAGCTATCAGAATGCCTTACCCAGCAATGGACTTTTTTTATGCCCAGCTTTACATCAAACTATATACATGCAAACAAAATGCAGGTATCACCCCCCAGCTCAGAGCCTCTAGGTGGTAATATGGTAAAGTGTCAGAGCTCTGTCCTGGTTTTGGCTGGGATAGAGTTAATTTTCTTCCTAGTAGCAGGCATAGTACTGTGTTTTGGATTTAGTAGGAGAAGAATGTTCATAACAAACTGATGTTTTAGTTGCTGCTAAGCACTGCTTACACTAGTCAAGGACTTTTCAGCTTCCCATGCTCTGCCAGGTGCACAAGAAACTGGGAGGGGGCACAGCCAGAATAGTTGATCCAAACTGACCAAAGGGCTATTCCATACCATATGGCGTCATGGGCAGTATAGAAACTGGGGGGG